TGTTTGTGCACGGGAAGATGTTCTCTCCCCGTGTGCGCACGGGGACAAAATAGTTTTTTTTTTTTTTCGACAATTATATTACTTTTACTTGCAATTTAAAAATTAAAATTCACGATATCTCCCCGTCTCCCAGCGCGCACGAGGACAAATTAAATTTTCTTTTTTTTTAGCAATTATATTACTTTTACTTCCAATTTTAAAATTAGAATTTACTTAAGATTACGAAAATTTATATAATCCCTATTCTTAAATAATTACTGAGTGTATTTACCGTATTTTAAATTACATGCTATTCCTAACATTCACATCTTTTTTTTCCCATTTAAAAATACAAACACACTTAACATTAATGTTATGTAATTAATTTAAGATTCCATAATCTTCTCAATAAAAACTGAAAAATAATAATCATATCGTATAATAATATTAATTACACCTACTCAACCACTTCTCACCTACCATTCTACATTCCTCACCTACCAAACCCAACACACCTACCATTCTACACGATAATTACCAAACCCAACCAATGTAATTTACTACCTTCATCTTTCCAAATAGAAAATACAAAGAAAAATATCTCCTTCTACACTCAACTTTCAACTTTTTGCTCAACTTTCTGCTAGAATTTTCTGCTCAACTTTCTGCTAGAAAAAAAAGATGTGTTCATTTTATTCGCATTCATCCATTTTATAACTTCAGTTCTTCTTCGTTTAATTTTCTTTTCTTATTTCCTAAAAGCTATTCTGATTTTGACTTTTTGACAAAAGTTTTTTTACAAGAAGTTTTTGCCTCAAAATGTTTTCAAATCTAAGTTATTATTTATTAATTGTGTGGGGCTCAATTTCACATGGATTAATGATTTAACGTATAAAATAATTAATTTTTTAACTTCTTTTATCTTAATCAACGTTTAACATTTTTAGTTGAATATTCTTGTCTAATATCTCTTTCCCAAAAAATTTAATATTTTAATTAAATGATACACGACAGGTACGCAGACGTATTTTTTTATTTAGTTCACTTTTCCTTCCCTTTCTTTACCTTTTCTTCCCACAACTTATACAATTTCGTAATATATTT